GACGTTATAAGTGAATCTCCCGTTGATTTTCTTATCGATAGTCAGCTTAATATGCAATTCAGTTTTAAATTCAGACCATGACATTTTAGAAAAAGTAAAAAGAGTATCGGCAATTTATTGGTATAAACTCCTGCAAAGAAAAGTAGAAATGTTCATTTCCTGGGGAACTGGAAGACCAGACTTTGTGATGCTGCTGGTATGAGAGTAAGAAAAATCAACCTGTGCTAGCTTATGCTATCGAATATATAGAGTGGAATTGGAAATTTGGCAATATTGACAGCTCGCTGAATTTACAAAAATGTCGGCATTATATCAAAAACATGATGAACTAGTCATCATACCACAGGCGGGGCGGCACTGAAGCTCACATGAGAAGTCCCCGGTAGCAGCAGTAGCTGCAATCCTCACCATTCCGTTTGTTATGTTCGAACTTCAAAGACAATCTCTTCCATTTTCTCTAAGATTTTCAGCGCATTTTGTTGTCAACTAAATTCAGGCAAATGGCTGATAGCGTTACTAACTCTACAAGCTTTAAGCATGGTTCTTTGTGGCTAGTACTTTGCTCGTTCCTGACTTCTCGGAGATGTTTGGACTTGCTGCAGCTAACTCATTAGGCTGGCTTTTTAGCGAATAGTAGTTTTCTTGATTAATTCAACTCTTAAGCTCAGATCAAAACCACCAGCGCAAATGGTATAGGATGAGAGTAACTTTTCCAAGTTGGAATTTCCAGGACAAGCATCAATGCAACAAGTCAACCTTGGGTAGCATGAAATTCCAATGCTTCAGGGAACATGATGAAAAATTGGAGAGCTGATTGTTTTGGAAAATGTTCTTGTCAAAAAGCAAGTACGAATCAAAAGAAGAACAACAATTTACTTGCTCTTTTCCTTAGTTTAGGGAAGCATCAATCATCTCACAATTCTAATACATGACTCGTCACATCATTACCTTCGGAATTCAATCTTTGGTAAGCCATAATCGTATGGACATTCTTCATTGTTTTGTATGATGTGTGTTCTAGGCAAGTTTGTCAGAGTCTTGTGCCAATAGAAATTGTAACTTCTTACATGCCGACAAATCCAACAAAGTCTCGATGGATTCGCATCCTGTGATAACTAGATGTGTCAGAGATCTCAAATCCTCAATTCCGGGGATCTCCAGAACACCAAGCGAGTACCTGATAGTGAGTTTCTCTAAATTTTTGAAATTTGACAGGTTGGGCAAGATCTTTAAGGATGGGCCTAGGTCAATGTATATGCTTTGGCAGGACAAGAAGTTCTTGAGGCTCTCAATATCACGAAGCTCAACAACAGATGATGTTCGACTCTTTCTGGGTCTCGAAGAACAACAGTTTTGGTAATCTTTCCATGGACTCGCAGAACCAGAGATTCTAACTTTTCCAAGAACTTCAACCTATCAAGGCCTTGAATCTCAATTAGATTTTTGCATTTTGTGGCGTCTAATTCCTTTAGACGCTCTGATTTTCCAAGGTTCAATCTTTCAAAGGATGTGCAATTATTGACATTCAGTGCTTCCAAGAACTCTGAACTATCAAGGCCTCGAATTTCAACTAGATTTTCACAATATCTAGCAGTTAATAGTTTCAGACGATTTGGTTTTGGAAGGTCCAGTCTTTCAATGGAATGGCAAAAATCTATATCCAATTCTTCCAAGTGCTTCAACCTGTCAAGACCTTCAACTTCAACTAGATTGTCTTCCATATCCACAGAGCGTGTGATCCATCGTTCTGACTTATTGGCAAGCATCTCAAGGACTCTGAACATTTTCTAAGGCCATCCAGCTTAGTCAACTTTGTGCGACCTGCTGTGTTCAACGTGTTGGGGATATTGATACTTGCCGGCGTTTGCTTTGCATCAGTTTGATGCATTCACGTGGCTCTAATCCTGGTAAGCATTTCAACTTGCCACATTCTGTGGCAGGAAGCTTCAATAGTCTTGAAGGAAGCTCTGGGAGAGATTCCAGCAATATGCAATCATAAAGAAGATAAGAAAGATTAGATGGATTAGGTAAAAAAGTGGAGGCAACGTGCAACCCTGACCGGTGACTTGCAGAAAGGTTAACCTGGAAGGAAGCTCTGGCAGTGATTGAAGCTTTCTGCAGCCCCCTAAGTCAAGATTTTGCAGAGAAGAAAGATTCCGAATTCTTTCTGGCAAGCCAGAAATGGATGTATACGTTAATCAAAGCTTCACAAGTGAAGCCAAGTTGCCAATTTCACTTGGAATTTCCCCTTCCGTTCTAATGCAACTTGAACTATCCAACTCGAGGAGTTTCCCCAACCTTCCAATAGCACCTGGCAACTTTTTGATCCGGGTAGCAGAAATTTTCCGGATTTCCAAATTATGCAAATCCCCAATGGAAGCTGGTAATTCCGTTATGCTTGTGCTGGACAGGTCGAGTTTAGTCAGCGATTCCATCTTCCCAAAGCAGTTTGGAATCAGTGTCAATGGGCAACAAGGTGTAGTAGTCGCGCCAAATAGCAAGCTCTGCAGCTTCTTAAGGTAGCCAATGTCGTCTCAAAGTTCGGCTGTTCCCGGACGGTTGCATAAATTGAGGGTCAACAGATTCACTAGATGGCTTATTGAGCCCGAAAGTCGAACCAGACCATAAAAACGCTTGGCACTAAGGGTGCGTATGGTAACGTTTATATTTCTGGGAACAATTTCTTTTCAGAAATAGTTTTTTCTATTTCTATTTCCTGGAAGAGTTTTTGAGTATAATAATGCGCATGGTAACTGCACAAAATTTCTATTTCTAGAACAGAAATGTGTTTGATAACTGCACAAAATTTCTATTCCTGGAATAGAAAAAAAACAGAAATGCATTTGGTAACTGCACAAAATTTCTATTCCCAATTTTTTGCATTCACATCTATATCTTTTATTTAACTATAAGTACAAGTTATAAGTGAAAAAACCAATAAGCATGATTTATTGGTTTGTCTAATCCTTTTTAGGGATTTAAAACCCCTTTTAATTCCTAAACTAAGGAGTCTTAAAAAATACCACTTGGGCACCTCAAAAATTTAAATTTCACTCAAAGTGGGTGACCACAAGTATTCTAAGCCATTATGTGAATTTTTTTATATTTTTTTGGGGTAAAATTTATTAAAATTTTTTATTTTCCCTAAATCTGTTTCTTTTTATTTTTCCGAAAATTTTTTATGAAATTTTTTTAATTTTTTCAATTTTGGAATTTTGCAAATATTTAAGGGTTTTCTGAGTTTTTCTGATTTTTATGGATTTTCTGAGAATTTTTCTGATTTATATGAATTTTGGGAATTTTTTAATTTTCTAATTTTTATGAATTTTTGGAATTTTTAAATTTATTCTATGCCATTATGTGAATTTTTTATTTTTGTTTTTTTTTGGGAAAAGTTTATTAAAACTTTTTACTTTCCCGAAATTTGTCTCTTTTTATTTTCCAGAAAGCTTTTTATGAATTTTTTTTAAATTTTTTCAATTTCGGAATTTTGCAAATTTTTATGGGTTTTCTGAGTTTTTTTGATTTGTATGGATTTTCTGAGAATTTTTCTGATTTTTATGAATTTTTGGAATTTTTTAATTTTTTATAATTTAATTAATTTCTTATAATTTTTTTATTATTTCTGCCGAGAATGGACCGGACCGGTGCTTTGAGATGGTTTGCAGACGACGGAGGATGGAGGAGGAGCTGAGGTCGCGACTTGAGGACCGTACTTTTCTATTTTTATTTCTATTTCTAGGAACAAAGAAGTAGATTTTTTCTACTTTTTATTTCTGCTCCAAATCTATTTCTTGGTCACTTTTCTATTTCAGAAAATAGAAAAATAAAATGCGTTACCAAACGGATTTATGTTCTTTTTTTGTTTCCAGGGAACAGAAGAATAGAAAAATAGAGAAACAGAAACGTTACCAAACGCGCCCTAAGCTTCTCCAGCTTACTCCAGCTTCCTCAGAGAACCAATAGCAGGAATCTCTCTTATAGCAGTCGAATCCAAAGCAAGTTCCTTGGATACTCCTAATGCATTAATAGAACGGTGAATTTGCTCCAGATGTTTACATTCTTTAAGGATGAGAATTTCTGAATTTTGGAAAGCCGAAAAAGTTGGGAGTACATTTTAAATGACCACACCTAGTAAGGTCCAAAACTTTGAGTCACTTCGCCGTCTATAAGAATGAAAAGTATCACGAGAATTAGTCATCTCAGAGTATTCAGTATTAAAAACACGACATCAGATGTGTCATTCTGGCTTACCCTCATCGAGCTCCATCCATTCCAATGTTCCGTAATCGTGCTCCGTGTCAATCTCAGCATGACTAGTTTCTCCAGACGCAAGTTGGTTGCCTTGAAAGATGAAGGATATCCCGTCCACTTTAGCCATCTTAATTCAGGAAATAGTTTCTCAAAATCTCCGCTAAAATTCGCATCCCTCACTTGCAGGAACCTTAAGCTCAGTAACTTCTCAAATTGTTCATTTGTGTATGTCCTGTCCTCTTTGTCATCTCTTTCTTCTGAGCCTTTGTCTAGACAAATGGCCTGAATCTTTTTCGTTTCCTATAAGTTAAAAAGCAATACTGTTAGATATTGCATCAGACCAACTAAAGACTAGTAATATTAGATTAGATTAGATTAGATAAGAAATGAGACGAGAAAAGAAGTGGTGATATGTTACCTTCTTTCCTACTAGTACCATCAAGGCTTCTTTATATATCTACAGTCTACTACGCTTCCCAAGTGCTCCTTCCAGAGAGAATTAAGATGCACCTCCCAAGATCTCTCAACTGATTATGCATCCCTAACTTACCATTATCTGCAACTTTTATCAGGCACCTGAGCCTCAACTCTTCAATACCTTCGCTTGGATACAACTCGCAGTCCTCCCACATGTAGCAGGAAAATTTGGTGTCCGTTCCAATGAAAAAACAAGCAATATCCAGAAAAATCTCCTGATGTCGACGTTCTAGTGTGTCATAAGATATCCTTAGTATCTCTTGGACCTCTCAGTGGGGTTCTTTTGTCAATATCTTCAACACATCTTTCCATAATATCATATTGGATTTCATATACAAGTATGAACCTATAACTTCAAGAGCTAAAGGAAGCCCTGCCGTGGTGGATATGACATCGTGAGAGATATCTTCAAAGGCACTTGGAGGATAGTCATTGTGAAATGCATGTCTACTGAACAAATGCAAGGATTGCACCTCATCCAATTCCTTGAGTTCATACTTGTAGTCTACCCCAAATACAGTCTTATCGAGAATAACTTCATATCTAGTTGTAACGATAATCATACTTCCTGGCATAATAAAACAGCCGTGTTCTCTAGTCAAAACATCCAATTGATTTTTATGATCCACATCATCGAGAAGAATAAGGACCTTTTTGCCTTTGAATTTAGATTTGATTATGTTGATTCCATCATCAACTTTTGACACCTGATATTTGCTTTGAAGTATATCGGAGATTAGTTGATTGTGTAGATATTGTAAGCCGTGGCGGTGAGCTATTTCTAGAACATCTAGAAGGAACCTGCAACTCTTGAATGTTCTGGGGAGTTCATTGTAGATGAATTTGGCGAGAGTTGTCTTACCGATCCGGCCCAAGCCATAAATTCCGGTCATGTTGGCATCGACGGAAGGAGTGGCTCACTAATTCATGATCCTGAATGCCAATCAAGTGCTTAGGAGTATTAAGCAGAAAATCTTGATGTAACTTGCTCAAAACAGCTTCTACCACCTTTTTCACCATGTCTCCTTCATGCCTGTAAGAAAACATACCAAGTATGATCCTGTCAAAAGATAAGATGGACAAGGTTTGAGTAATGAATGAAGTACCCATCAGCGATTTTGTCCGACTCCAATCCACTCAAGTAACTCACTTATGTGAGTGCTCGCTGCCCTACTTCAATATCCTTCGCATCGAAATGCGTCTGTTTCGCGAAAAATGGTTGTCGACGAAAGACCTTTCACCAAAGAATTGATCTTTGGTTTTATTAAAGTGAATTGGGTTCTGTGACGACTCGAACAGGAATCAATAAGTACGAGACAAACTACTAATGCTAAAGCAATAAAGAATAAAAGGATTGCGAATAAAGAATTGATAAGTAAACTGTAGAAAAATTGAAAAGTGTGATTGATTGCGGATCCTATTACAATTGATTCTTCTCGGCCTTATCTAGCCTTGTACAAAGTGTAAAGCCTCAACTTGATTTGCTTATAACCGCACGTTCTCATCCGTAAACGGCTACAATTTAGCTCCGTCTCCATTTCTGCATCTTTCATCGATCTCCTAATCAGCTGCATCCTTTATCGTATGTTGAATTTGATTATGGCCTCGAAGCTTGAAATTGGTTGCAGAGTCTCCTAGTGTTGACTCTGACCAATTTTCATAAGGGTACTATACTTTAAATAATTCTTCAAATCTAGCCCCTACTTTTAAAATAATTAGTCAATAATAAATTTTGTATTTGATTTTGATTATGGTCTCCAAACTTCTTCCAAACTTTCCAAGGTATATGTAATCAACTAAGAGATTTGTATATCATTAAGATTCATTATCAAGAAATGACTTCTTCGGGCTTGCAATACAGGGGAAAGATATAAAAGCAAATTAAGAAAAGTAGAGAGAAGTCCCGACACTACAAGGGACAATGCAAGCTGCAAATTTTTTTTTTATTAGGACAAATTGACGTGATTGCTCAATAAGTCCGAATTGTTTTGCTTGTTAAATAAAAGACACGTGACTTTAGTGCTTACAGCAGTTTATAGGAAACATAATACGTGCATCAAATGCTCATGCGGTGTGACGATCCAAATTATATTATTAAAGATAGGGATATTGACACAAACAGTTTATTAACTTTGGCTCAATATACAATGTGGTCCTTGAACTTTTTATTTATTCAATATAGTCCTTGAACTTTAACCTAATGTTCAATGTGGTCCATGAACTTTTAATTTATTCAATGTCGTCCCTGAACTTTTGATACTTGTTCAATGTAGTCCATGAACTATATGAAAATGTTCAATGTAATCATTGAAATTAATGAAAGGACTACATTTGACATTTTCATATAGTTTATGAACCAAATTGAACATGTAGCAAAAGTTCAGGGACGACATTGAACATATTAAAAGTTCAGGGACCACATTATACATTGGGTTAAAGTTCAGGGACCCATTGAACAAATTAAAAGTTCAAAGATCACATTACTCATTGGGCCAAAGTTCAAAGATTGTTTGTATCATTTTTCCTTAAAAATACTAGATCATTACGAGTGCTTTACTTTAAAAAGTTTTCGTGTGAGCCAATTATTTATAAATCAAAGGAAATGATTTTATCAGTTCTATTACCGATCAAAAGTGGAAGAGAAATATACGAGGGAGAGAAAGAAGCATGGTGGCCGATGTTAAAGGCTGTGCCACAGCCACACGCATGTAAAAAGCGAGAGTAATAGAAAGTTACTCTAGCTTCTAGGGGTGTGCAAAAGAACCGGGACTCGCCCGGACCGCCCAGAACCGGATCGGAACCGGTGGTTCCCAAGGGAACCGATCTGGTTCCCGATTCTAATTTTTCGGAACCGGTGGGTACCAGTCCGGTTCCCGGTTTCCAGTGTGGAACCGCCTACCCGCCCACCCGGATCGGACATGTAATATAATAATATATTTATTTATTTAATTTTTAATTTAAAAATCTGACCAAAAAAATTTAAAAAAAAAAGAAAATAGGAGAGTTGTTGTTTTGTTTGCTTGCTAACTATTGTGAACTTGTGGCAAACTCTCATGTGTGATATATAATATAGGCTACGGATGTATTTGATGTGAAGCAAAGTAGCATGTGGTGAATATAACTCACTAACGGGCAAGAATTAGACCGGTCCATTTTTTGATTTGTCCAGGAAAACTTAATGGAACTGGTTCCATGGACCCACCCGGGAACCGGACCGGACCGGCAGTTCGGTTCTCGGGTGGATCCATGGAACCGATGGGCTGTTCTCGGTTCCAATTTTTTGGAACCGGTCCTTAGCGGGCGGTCCACGGTTCCGGAGTGGGAACTGCCTATCCGGACTATGCTCACCCCTACTAGATTCGGCAGCCTAAGTCGATATTCGGCGGAGAACAAATGGAAGAGACGGTCAAGATCAATGTCAAGATGGCTTTGAAACTCATTTCAACTCAACACTGTTGGGGAAACATCGAAAAGAAAAATTAAAAAGGAAGAGCAACTTCCCATAGGTGCCAAAAATTTGAGGGCTAAAATGTAATTTGCAAGTTATTGTTCCCATAGATTTAACTTAGTCCCGTGACAAGCACGTGGCCGGTGCTCGAACTGAAAAATGATGGAAGTCACGCGGGTGATACATTGCAAAATTTTGAAAAGTCAGGGGCAATTTGTAATAAATGCCAAAACATGGGGCCAAAATCGAAATTCCGGCCAACTACTATCTACCATTCAAAATCAAAATCCAAAAATTCCACCATCAGACCGACTCCATAGACATTCCATCTCTCTCTCTCTCTCTCTCTCTCTCCAAATGGGCTGCTGCGGCAACGACGACGACGGCGGCGACGGCGGGGAACCTCCGCACCCTTCCCCTGCCCGGACCCCCGACCTCTCTTCGCCGCCGTCCTCCGCCGCCTCCGACGATTCCACCATCTCGCCGATGAACTCCCACTTCGCCGCCCTCGCCTGCCGCGACACCCTCCGGATCATCTTCGAGAAGCTCCCGGTCCCGGACCTGGCCCGCGCGAGCTGCGTCTGCCGAATCTGGAGCTCGGTCGCCTCCGATCGGGACATGGTCACTCGAGCCTTCGCGGCCCCCTGGAGGTTGAAGGAGGTGGTCGGCGTCCCCAGCTCGGGTAGCTTCTGGAGGGATAATGGCATAGGGAAGTTCGCCATCTCGCATCGGATAAAGCGCGGCGATAGCGTCGCGAGCCTCGCTGTGAAGTACTCGGTTCAGGTAATGGAGCTTATGTCCCTTTTGCTGTATCGATTGTAAGCAAAACTGTGAATTATGGTCGCGGCGAAATGATATATTCACATAGTATACTTTAAACGTTGCGAATGACATTCTTGGACGCTGCATTTCCGATGGAGATTAAACATTTTCAGCTGATTCTGAAGAACATATCCACTGCTTTTTCATGTATAAGTTAGCTAAAGTGGTGCATCAAGCTACGGCTTTTGAAAATTCAGAAAGAAGGTTTCTTGATAGTATCCTTCTGATGTTTCGGAAGTCATGTTGGTTTGTTCAGCATGTAGTCATGGGTAGACGGGGTCAGACGTAGGTAGGTCTGTTTGAGTGTTGATGAAGTGGATGGAAGCTGGGGGGTTAATTGTCAATTTTCATGGAGTTTATGGTGAATTTGCTTTGCTGATGGCTTGGAATCCATTTGGTTTTCTCCTCCAGCATAGATTGTCTATTTGGTTTACTCTTCCGGCATAGATAGGTTTGTTCTTTGCACAGGCTGGTGGTTGGATGACTTCAACGTTGATGACAGATTAATCCCACTGAATGGGGTTAGCTATATGAACCAATTTACCTTGCTGCTCTATTTTGTACCAAAGAGGTCGTAGGATAGATGCTCAATGGAATTTCCTTCTGCGAAACTTATAAATTCATTTGCACTGGAGAAAGCCCGACTGAGTGACATATGAATTTGGTGATTTTGGGATAACTTCATTTATCGGTGAAGCCTAGAAAAAAAGGAAAAGAAAACGGCTACACTTGGAAGTCATTGTCGTGGTTTTTCTCTGGAGGTGTGGAGGAAGGTTGGGGCTAGAACACACATGTCCTGTCTTAGGGAGCTTAGGGTGCTCTTCATGTGACACATTCTGCAATCTGTAATGTTTTGGTAACTTAGCCAAGCAAAAAGCATCTCTGATTACTAATAGCAAAAAGATATGCTTGATTGACCAACACATTTTGGTGTCTTAATATATAAAGACCATCTCTTAGTTCCCAGAGCACGTGGGGCTAGTTAAAGTGATGCTCAGATTTTGCAAGTTGTCAGTATGAAATGATGGTTGATGTACTTTTGTGATGATCATGATAGTTCCTCTGACTTAATAACACTGACACAGAAATATTAGATGATTCTGCAGAAATGGAGATGTTGATCCATGGAAATGGTTGAATGCCGACCTCGACTTCTAAGACCAGAACTTAATTGTTGGTGCAATTAGGAAATGAATGTCTTTTTATGGAACTTTTTCATGGTTATAGTCATAATGATTCCTGAACAATCAGAAATGATTTATTATGATCCATGATTGTCAAGTGAGATCTTGCTGGGTCAATTTTTTATCAGCTGTTGGTAGAGACTTACTTTTAGAATGGCTTCTGTCAATTTTTCCCCCTGCTTCAAAGTTTCTTTCATGCCTGTCCTTTTTGTCCCTGTCTACACTGCAAGTTACATGCTTAAAAGAATTTTTTTCGTGCTGTCAGGTCATGGACATAAAGCGCTTAAACAACATGATGAGTGACCATGGTATATATTCGAGGGAGAGATTGTTGATCCCCATAAGTAACCCTGACATTCTTATTGATGCCACATGCTACATAGAGCGAGATAACCATGCAAAGAGGGAAGTTGCTGTGCTTTATCCAGAAGGTGTCCGGGACATAGAGATAAGTTCTTTGTTGAAGAGGACAACCTCTGAACAAGGGAAGAAGAGGATACTCGACTCGCTTAGGAGGAGCATGCAGGTTGATGACGGGACTGCCCAGTACTACTTGTCTATCTCTGATGGTGATCCAAGGGCTGCACTCTCGGAATTCTCCGAAGACCTTAGGTGGGAGAGACAGGTGGGCTTGGCCTAAATGAAATGGTTAGGCAACATTGTGGCTGCTTTAATAAGATGAAATGAATGGCAAAGGCACCTTGAAGCGTGGCATTGGATTTGGAATTGAACCTATTTCTCCATGTATATGATTAATCAATTCCTCCAAGTCGCATTTGTTTCTATGCATTCTTGGGGCGACTTAAACCGTCGAGTAACTTGTTTACCACACTTTGTGGATACACCATTGTATAATGCACTTGTAATATGCATTTCATATGAAAATAGTGTCTGAAAGGAAGGGTGGTGGTTCTTGTATGATTCTCTGATCAAGCAATCATCGTACATATATGTTTAGCCATTTGCAAATAAATTGAGCATATGATTTATATATGCGTGGACTGACTAGTGTATTTGCGAAGTAATTTGTCCGCGGATCGACTAATGTTTTAGCGTATTGTCTGAGGTGTTGATAAAATAAACTTGTAGATGAAGTTATGGGTGGACAGATTCTTTTGAATTCGGTGACAATGGTTGTTGAAGGAGCCTCTTGAAGGTTTATCATTCAGGAGCGTCGCCACTGACCGGGACAGTTCTGCTGTTCCGGATTAGTAAGTTTGGAAATATTGTTTTAGTAACTTTTAGAAACAGTTTGTAAAACAAATGATCGGGGACTTGTTTGGCTTATGGCATGTTTGTATTAACACTTCTATCGAAGTACTAATGTTTGTTTGATTGTTCAAAATTATAAATTGTTTTAATAAGGTATAATATTTATTCGTAAAGTTTGTTCACGTTTTAAAATTATTATTTCTTCTATGAAATTACACATCTTAAATCGAGTGATACATCAATTTTTTTTCCGATTGAATTATAATTAATTTTAGCTTGCTAGCTCTTATTTAGGTTTCTTACCAATTTTTATGTTCTTCGTTTTAAAATTTCTAACCGTTTCAATAATTTTTTTTGGGAGTTTACCAACCTGTTAAAGTTACCAATTTTTACAGGAAGTTACAAACTTTTATTTGAGTGCTTTTCCAACTCTTTTTTAATTAAATTTCCAATTAACTTTAATTTACTTACTCTTATTTGAAATTACCAATTTCTATTAAATATTCACGTACACTTATTTGCGTAGCTTACGAACGCACTAAATGACTAACTTTTAAACGAAAGTACTTATCTTTAATTTGAGTGACTACCAACTTTTCTCCGATTAAGTTTAAACTAGTTTTAGCTTTCAAACTTAATTTGAGTAACTTATTTAATTGTTTAAAAAAAACCGAATGTTTGAATAATTTATCAAGATTTATTTGTTGAGCTTACCAACGCGTAAAAATTGGTTAACTTTAACTCTCTAATAAGCTTCGCAACTAACTGGGCCCTTTTGTATAATTCAAATACAATTGATAATATGCTGTTGAATTTAACGGCCATTAAATTATTATTTTGTTGGTAAATTAGCAATAAATAACTGAACCCACTTATAAGATTAAAAAGAAATTAACCATTGACTATGGAATTTGACATTGTTAGAATAATTATTTCCTTGATAAAAACTAACGAAAATCGAAAAATAACTGATCATCTAGTATGAAATTTGAAAGTGTTAGGAGCATTATTTTTATTAGTAAGTGCCCAACAAATAAATGAGCACACTTGTAAAACAGAAAATTTGAAAGTGGTGAAATCATTGGTAAGTTAAACCAAATTAATGGGCTCACTCGAAAAGTAAAAAAAAGTAAATTGCTGATAACTGGAATTTTTTTTTTTGGTCGAACTGATAACTGGAATTTGAAAGTAGTAAAACGATCATTCTGTTAATAAAATCACTGATGAATAAACAAACTCGCACGTACAATTTAAAAGCAGTCGATAATCTACTAAGAATTTGAAAGTAATAGAATCATAAATTGGATGCTAATAGCTAATTGGGCCTACAAGTAAATATTAGGGAAAACGACATAAGTAATTCTTGAACTTTGGTGTAATATGCAATGTGGTCTATAAACTTTTAATTTGTTTGATGTGATCCTTAAACTTTAGCTCAATTTACAATATAGCCTATGAATTTTTAATTTGTTCAATGTAGTTCTTCGAATTTTGGTATATGTTCAATTTAGCCTCCGAACTATATTAAAATGTTCAATATCATTCCTAAACTTGAATTAATGGAAGACCAACATTGACATTTTCATATAATTCTGTGAATAGATTGAACATGTACTGAAAGTCCAAGGACCACGTATAATAAATTAAAAATTTAGGGACCATTTGCATTATTATTGCTAAGTAAGAAAAGCAAATTTTAATTTATCATTAAATGCAACAGTACTAAAATTATTGTTTCATTGGGTAATTTGTATAATAATTGATCGGGCCGACGAGGTCTCAGACCAATTCTACGAACCCGGTTCGGTTCCGTTAGTGCACGATACAATAGAAAATGGAGCGAGGGAAAACGGGAGGAGCTTGCAGAGGAAGTTCTAAGTGTCGTGCAGTCGGTTAACACCAGAGCCTCTGAGCACTTGCCTGCAATCGACTGCGGCTAACCACGCACTGGGTTTCGGTGTTTTCCGAGCGAGGATCGTGGGAAGGTTTCGTCAATGGAGCCGCTCCCGCCGACGGAGGAAGATTCGCAGCCCAATATAGCGTCGGGTTCGGAGAAGGACCCCGCGATTTTCAGCGTCCGGATCGTGTCGATCGACTACTACATGGCGCGTCCGATCCCAGATTTCGATGTTTGTTACAGCAGCTTTCAAGGTACACGCAATTCGGACTTTTGGGAATATGGGCATTCGGGGAAACGTGAAAACGAATGGAAAGACTCGTTTTTTTATCGTGCCCAAGACGGTTATGGATGTTGGCAGCGCAAGAACTTTGTTGGGTCTTGCTGTTTCATGGAGCTGTGGGTGAAATGGGTCTTGATATTGTCTTCTACTAGGAACGGCGGTGCTCTTGAAGTTATTCTATGTGTTCATAGCAATAATATGTATCTCTAAAGTGTCTTTGGTAAGAGAGACTGAGGGTCTGCTCTCATCTTTCGTGGCATAATTTTTGTGTTCACTTCTTTGGTCATGGAATCTTATGTTGAATAGGAGATGCCAGAGAAGCTTTCGGTTTGAATAAAGTAGGACTCAATCAATCACTGCATTGCAGACAAAAGTTGGTTTGCTTTCTTATGAGTGCGAGGAATATGCTTGCCTTACTGTTCTGTTATGAAGAATGTATCAGTTTGTCTGTGGATATCTTGTTTGGACTTCTTGTTTCGGCTGCTGGATTTATGTTAATTGATTTCCTGGCGTGGATATTCGTAGGGATTGATTAAAACTGTAGCACGGAGTCATGGAATCAGCCCATCAGCATCTTGATAATTTATTAAATGATTGGTTTGGTTGCTTAGAAAGCCCAGAGAGTATTGAATACTTTTCCTTTGGAGAGCGTAGTTGTCTCGATGATGAAGTATTTGAAATTTTCTTTTTTGTTGCTGAAGCAAAGACAAGAAGGTGGGCGTATAGTTTTTATGTGGCATGGCACCATGTCGATATTAAAAAATCTGTGCGAGGATTTGACATTTAACCTGCAAAAATGAAAATAACAGTTACAATTACCATGCAGTAGCTAGAAATTTAGGTAGAAATCTCTACTTTTGTATGTTCATAATCTCGTTCATGATTTATTAATGAAGGTGAAAAAGTGAATGAGGTTCCTGTAATAAGAGTTTATGGTTCAACTCCTGCTGGTCAAAAAACTTGCTTACATGTACATAAGGTTAGTAATCCTTGCTTATTTGTAGTTTTTTAATCCCCCCCCCCCCCCCACCGGAGCTGTTTAGCAATGAAAGTAACTTCCTTTTTCCCAATGAAGAATTTAAACCGGCATAGGTTTTACAGACTTGACTGGCTGGACACTAGTTGAATGTCTAAATAACAAATGAAGAGCTTACATGGCTGCAAGTAATCTATCGTGAAAAGTACCTGATGCTCATCCATGACATAGCTTATGAGGCAGCAATATCTTGTGAATATATCCTTCATACTGGTTCTAAATCATGTTTCTTTTCTTGTAGGCTTTACCCTATTTGTATGTACCATGCACTGATATTCCGATCCATCCATCTGAAGGTACTTGTGCGTGTTACAGATGTGTAGACTGCTTTGTGCATGCATATCCTGGTTTGAAGAAATTAACCAACATTTCTCTCAGTTTGCAGTACCTCTAGCGTGTAGCTTGTGTGTTTTCAGGGCGATTTGTTCGTTTGGCAACATGGCTATGGTTTCACTTGACCGGTTTTTGTCAATGTGCTTGCTATATATTGTTGTTGTGGACTTTAATTTAAATTTTTTGAATTATCTGCGCTTTTATATATTGAATTTATCTCTTTTTTTAAATAGTTTCTTATTGTTTTGCTACTAGCTTGATTGTTCACCGTTGAATTGCACAGGGGATGCATTTACAAATGCTGTATCTCTGGCCATGGAGAAAGCTTTGAAGGTATAATGTGTCATTCTTCGAAAATTATAAGTTCTGGCTTTAACTTGCTTAATTGGTTTTCATTGGATTTATTTGTGTGATTCGTTTGCTCGTTTGTATCTGAAACGATTGTTTTGTGAGTTACTACAGCTCAAAGGCAATTCTGGCATAAAACGGCAACATGTGCATGGTTGCAGCCTTGTACGAGCAAGGAGATTTTATGGTTATCATGCATCTGAAGAGCTGTTTGTCAAGATATACCTGTATCCATAAATGGCGTCTTGTATTTGTTTATTTTTCTGCCTGAATAGTACATTGCAACATCTTTGGGGCACCTTGACTGAAGCTTTAGCTATCATCCGCATGACGTCTCGCGGGCTGCCAAGCTTCTTTTGGTATTCTTCTCTCTCTGTCAGTAGCGCCTTATTTTTCAAATGGAACTGGTATTGCTTTTGAAGTTCTCACTGTTTTGCTCTAGATTTGGTACTTGTCATCTTCAGCTTCTTCAATTGCATGCCTTCGAGTGTATTCATTGTTTCGATCTGGGATATGCATGCCTGAGAGGGTTTTTAACTAAATTTCTGTTTTATCACAAAAAGAAAGCATTTGCTATTCATATGTTATTTGGGGCATCCAAGAAATATATGGGTCAAAATATGGCAATTAAGTTTCGATTTAATGAAAGGCCTGGGAAAATTAGCTTATATTTTGTACTTTGATGGAGAACTAAAATGTATTAGGGGAAGCCCACTATTCATTAAACTTGGCCATTGCAGTATGTTTTGTCGAACATTTTCTCAGATACCAATTTCTTCAGGGGATAAAAGAAGTATCTTTTGGCTCAT